AAAAAAAAAAAAAACAAAAAAAAACAAAACAAAACAAAACAAAAAAAAACATTGTGAATAACTCATAAAAATATAATATATTCTGTTTTACCACAAAAACGGCAGTTATAGCTATTATTCTGATATCTGAGCTTGTCTTTAGACCACGTGACCTCCATTGATGGCTATACTCTGTTAAAGTCTCTTAAGAGATTAAAAAATACCCCAAACTTTTTAGAAAAAAAACAGGGACTAACTTTGAATGTAAAAATGGATTCATTAACCATTGGTAAGTGTGGGAAAATTGTTGTTTACTCCAGGAAAATTCATTTTTTGGCCGAAACGAAGAGTTATTATCCCTTTAAGCTGTTGAAACATTTGTTTTTATAAATTCATGTCATGTAATTCAGGTCCAAACTGATGTTTTCATTACGTAATGAATATAATGGTTTGGCAATCATATGTAGATGTGGTGTTGGCTGGAGATATTGATAAAATTGTTTTTTTTTTGGTCAGTTAAATAATATTTCTCGCCAAATTTTATTTTCCCAGCCCCTGCAGGATAAACACCTGTTGCTGGGGGTGGCGTTTTTAGTTATGGTGGACGTGGCTGTAATGGTGACGTGGACAGTGATTGATCCAATGTACTTGACGTATCATATCCAGACAGACACGGTATGTTCACCGGAAGCGGAAGTCTCATTGCGGTAGCCCAATGGTGCTTGTACCATTTCCGGTTAGGTGACACAAAGAGTCAATTTGGAATACAGTTAAAGCAGCTAGCAAATAAACATTATGGTTATTGTTGTTTATAGTGACGGGTTGAATGTCAATAAATTCATTTAAAAAACAAAACTAAAAAAATCAAACAAAGAAAAAAGCACTGAACACCCAAGACTTTCCCACGGTATGTATTCTGAAATATCTTATTTTTACTGCGCTTCTGATGGTAATTTATCTTTAATACACTGTAGTAGTGTTGTCTAAATACGGTACCTGGTACAGAATAGACTCATTGAATATAAGACATCTATAAGTGTACTTTTCTATAAATGGCGACTACAGCATTGAGAAACTGCTAATGTTATCGAGAAGAAATCATAAAAAGAAAAAATGGTTAATAAATACATGTAAAATCCATTAAATTAGAAATCAAATCAATTAGAAATAGATGAATAAGAAACAGAAATTGAGAGAAATTGAGGAAAAATGACAAAAAAGTAAAAAAACAGAGTTTAGAACTCAAAAAAGTTATTAGAACTCAATTATTCCAGGAAACGGACGGGAAACGCCTGATAACGAAACACGAGTCCTGTACGTCGGAGTTAAAGACGTATTGGATTGGCGGTCTGCTGGCAGAGAAGGGATTGCTTCTGATTTTTGGGTGTTTTTTAGCCTTTGAGACAAGAAAGGTCTTTGTACCGGAGTTAAATGATTCAAAGTAGGTACATATTAATATTTGGAAAAGGAAAAATGATTGAAAATATCAGATACGAACGTTTTAACGAATATATATATGTGTATTGTGCGCTCACTTAAGTAATGAATGTATTTCATTTTCGTAACGTGCGTGGATCGTATATGAATATTTGTTGTTTGTTAAACTCCTTTCTCCGTGTTAAAATATATCAGTACATTTTCACAAATATGAAATAAATTCTGTGTTCGGTATGGTTTCTTATTTATACACTTATATTGTGATATTCATTATTAACTGTTAATCTTTTATCATTGGTTTTATTGGTTTATCTATCTTCCTATTTATTTTAAGTATAATTATAAATATTCCCACGTTCCAGGTATCTAGGCATGTGTATCTACAACACCTGTGTTTTGTGCGGAGTTGGCGCCTCCGTCGCCATGATTGTGTCGGAGAGGCCAGCTATCACATTCGCTTTCTCATCTCTTTGCATCATAGCGTCAGCTGCCACGACGTTAGGCTTGCTGTTTGTTCCTAAGGTAAATAAATACACCACAAAACAGGCACACACAAGAATTAAAAAAAGGCAGGTGAAATTAAATGCTCTGTTTTGAGCAATGCCATGTTCCAATCCTTTTGAATTTTTAAACGTTATTTCATGTTTTAGAACTTAGTATGGTAGTTCACAGTATCAGTTTTTTACGACTTGTCCATCTGTACCCTTTGGTCCAATTTCAGATTAGTTACGTTAAAAAACACCCCAATGGGAAGCAACCCGATGACATATCATCTACTTTCAAAGCCAGTTTAAGAAATGTTCATAAAGAACTTTCAAATACAGCGTCCGTTTTTACGAGCAATGACCAGGGCAATGAAGATAACTTAAGGGACAGAAAGAGCGCGAGTTTAAACACCCCGTTGGCAAGATTTCCAATAGTTAGATTTTATTCCGAACTTGGTGGTACAGAAAACGATTCACACAGCAGATCTCGGAAAGCTAAAACCACTGGAATAACAAACTGTTCGTTCTCCACGTCTGACGCAGACGAGAATGGAGGAGACCACGAGCAAACAGTTTTCCCGTCGAACGGCGCCACGTGTTCCCCTGTTGAAAACCGTTGTTTCGAAAACCACGTGGTGGTTGGTAGTTGTACGGAGTTATATGTACCAACAGTTAATGAAGACAGTCGCCTTTAACAATAATTGATTGAACAAGCAATAGAAATTAAAAAAAGCCCAGGCACTGACCTGATTTTCTCAGGAGATAAAAAAGATATTAAAAAGAATGGCCCGTTTCTGCCACATGGCTTAATTATCGTATGTTACGCGGGAGAAAGTGAAATATTCAACTGATAGCAGGTTTAACTTTTTCCAATATTACATGAATTGGAAATATTTTTTAAAATTTATGATAAAACATTGTATCATTTGATATGATATGTCTGTCATGATACATGTACTTCCTAATTTTAACATTATTTCAGGTTTTGCTTACTTATATGTTATAAGTTTTGAATAATTTCACTCAAATAATAATTTTAGTAATAAAGAAATGTATATGTGCGTGTTTGGGTAAATGTAAATGCCATCGATTTATATAGACCATATCCTTTGTTAAAGGTATTCTATCCGGATATTCGCCCTCATTTTAACTTTCATCGATAAGAAAAGAAAATGTCACCTTCTTGCCGATCATTAATCGACCTATCTCTGCACTTTGATTCGACATTTGCATGTATTTTAACCAAGAGACGTGCCTATTTGGACAACGTACTATATATTTGGCAAGACACATGTAACTCGAACGAACATTTGCAGGATCAAATCACCGCCTTGGGAATAAGAATCCTCTTTTTTTGACACACAATAATTTAACTTTTTTGATAGATGAGAGAATTATGATTAATGATACTATCAGTAAATCCGCTCGAAAATGTATCAGTTTAGGGTTATTCACCAACTTTTTCGCATACTTAAAGTTGAAAAAGTATCAAACGTATATCGCTTAATAGTTAGTACGCTTAAAATAGTTTAGACACAGTATGCGATTATTGTAACATACTGTATACAACAATAAATACTGGCCAAAACATGCCATTTGACAAGTCCGAACGTGCAATAAGATAACATTATAGACTACTATATATACAATAACACTTGACAACAATGTAACTCAAGCAAAAGTACCGTAATACAATATAGCCAATGAGAATCAATTAATTTTTTTAGGTGTTCAAGTTGTCTCTGAAGTTTTAGGATCAAATAGATCCGTACCGTAGAGATAACGCGTAAGTTGTTTAAGTAAGAACTTTGTGATATTGTTTATTGTGGATACAAGTATCAGAATGAAATGAATGCTCTAACAAGATAATTGATGTAAAGTGTAGTGGTAAAACGTAAAACACTGATACAGAAAAAAAAAACGCAAAGGAGTGTGAGTGCGCGAGCAAAGAGCAGAACGATCGCATGACTGCATCTCAGTATTGCGTGACGCGAACGCAATTATTGGATAAAATAAGACAATGCAACGTAAATCATTAAAATCGGTGATGAATTAGACCTTCGACAAATAATACACAAGGTTAGAATAAACACGTGAGTCTACAAGCCAACTATGGGATTTACCGTTTCCAAAAGACATTTGGAGAGACGATGAATATTTATTTTTGCCCAACAGGTAGGTTCATTTCGCTATGCTCTGTGATACAATCTTTATGAGACATTTCAGTTATTTAAATCAGTTTCAGTGGGGATCATCAGATATAGTCCGAAGTCAGGTAAGAAAGATTGAAATCCGGCGAGAATTTTGCGGAAATTAGAAGGAGAGTGGAATCAGAAGTAATGGCAGACTAGCCCCGTGCAGTGTGACAAGGAATAATAGCTGACAGAGGTAACCTAGAGATATTCAATTTCTGTGGTTGTTTTATCTCAGTTTCTGACGAACAACGGTCTATTGTACAACAGGGTTGAGCTATTAAGACTAGTATAACTGTATTATGCACATAACCGGCTTGACAATTAGTAACCAGCACGCAGTCTTTATAAACAGAGGGGTCTGGTTGTTACACGAGTCCATCCCCCTAGCTATTGAATCTAAGAGAGAGAGAGAGAGAGAGAGAGCAAAGCATTTTCCAAGAATACTTTAGCAAGATAATCTATGTGAAAAGCCATGGTTTTGATCAACATCGACTACACACACACACAAACATACAAACACACACACACACACACACACACAAAGAGTAAGAGAGAGAGAGAGAGAGAGAGAGAGAGAGACAAACGGATTCAGTTGAATTATCGCCACTCCGCAAACATTGTCTCAGTAAATGGCATCACGTTTTTCTCAGGCACATGAGAAACACGTGAAGCCTGGCAATAACTGGGACGATTGCGGGCAGCTCACAATGCAACAAACGAAGTTTTACATTACATTCTATTGACCGACATAAGCGGATATCCTGCATGGATTTTGCCACTGGGGAGGGGACGTCACAGAGATTAAAAAATAAGAAATAGTAGACGAGGAAAAGTTACTCCAATGTATTTATACTGCATTGTGTAACGCTGAGATGGGAAATTGCTTAGGTTTGTCTTGTTGCATTGAATATTTATCCATATTTTTTTGTGAGCAGAGGAAGGAATGGAGATAAGGGGGTGCAAATGTACCACCGAAACTGGGAGGGGGGTGCATGTGAACGAGTGTGCCCCTCCCTAAAACCGCTACTGATAGATGAAGAGCAGAACAACCAGGGGCGGAACCAGGATTATTCGAAGGGGGATTCGCGGATGCGAACTCGCCCCCTCCCCCCCCTAGGCGTGGGGTTCCGCTGAAGGGCCCAAAATTTTTTTGGTATTTTAAAAGGACAACGTTGCCATTTGTACGGTTTAGAACTGTGATTCAGCTAGTCAAAATTCAACTTTCATTGGTGTGATTTTATTCAGAAATCAAAGGGGGGGGGCGTAGGACCCCCCCAACACCCCCTAAATCTGCCACTGAGAACTGACGTCGCAGAAAAATGAACTGACGTTAAATAGGGATATTTTGGGAGTGAAGAACGGGCACCGATATACACCCGACCAAAAAAAATTGGAAACATGGAATTGGAATTAAGAATTATGTGCATATGTAGTGGGTAAATTTTCAGTACTTACATAAAAAAGTAACGAATGGTCGGTGCACTATCCGTCAAATTTAGTTAAAACACTTACCTTGTCTCTTATGGTTATTTTATAATTATGCAAAATATCGATGTTTCCGAACTTTTTGGGTTGAGCGTACATGTACAATGAAACTACAGAAGCACGCAATCGCACGTGCTTGTCAGCAACAATACTTACTGTTCATTGCAACACGAATATTAAAACGCCCTTTTCATATTATGGAGTAGTTGGGAACAGACAATAACACTGGGCTACAATATTACTCAAACAATAGTAATACAATTTAGCAAATGAGAATTGTTATAACTTTTTATGTGTTCAAGTTGTCTCAGATGTTATCGGATCGAATAGATTCAATAAAAGCAATTGACAGACAATTTAGATTTATCGGTAAAAAAAAGGAGGAAAAAAATCACCAACAACATCGTATTTATGATAGTGTTGACGATAAGGAACATTGCCAGCAACTGTCGCATTTGTTTACGGTGTCGACTAGATTTGAAGAGCAAATGACAGATAATTTACAGTAATCCGTAAATTAAGGAGGAACAAAATCACGGAAAACACCGCATTTGTTATACCCTTGATAATTGAAACATTGCAAGGAATTGACGCACTCGTTTGAGGTGTCAACTATCCATAATTAGCGGCATTGGTGGTGTCCTGTTAAGATGAAATTACGACGAAACAATCATATTTAGCACTTATTACGACGGAATAAACGTGCAGGGGGGTTAAATCTCTCATGTTTAATATACCTACTTGAGGTCTAAAAGGTTGCAAAACGCTAGCTCGTGACGCAAGCGGTGCATCATTGGGGACTTATTACTCTCCTTATGGCACAGAAGTGTTGTTTACCTATGT